CAGCTGTGCGAAAGGAGTCATGTCGCACAGAGATGAATGCGTGGTACGTGGTGGGCGCACGTGTATGCGTGTGTTATCGGTGGAATGGACCAATTCAGATGAACAAACTACAAAACAAGCAAACAAACGCACTCTTCATTTGCACGCCAGCGCAGCCAAAACCGCACCACCGTGTCCCCTCACCTGGTTGCTGAGTAGCTGCTCCAGGGGGCTCGCGTATTCCGCAGCAAAGCCCGTGGTGGCTGGCGGTGCACAAGGGTTGGGGGAGGGGGCAGCGGTGTGGGGTGAGATGGCAAAGAAACGCGCATGTGAATATACCGGATGACGAACGTTAAGCTCCCGCAGACAAAGGTCGGACACAGACACACAGAGACAGAGACAGACAGACAGACAGACAGACAGTTAGACAGACAGACAGACAGACAGACAGACAGTTAGATAGACAGACAGACAGACAGACAGACAGACAGACAGACACACACACACACACACGCACAGACACACAGACAGACACAAACGCACACATGTAGAAGCATGAAAACCACAACAGGGGCAGCTTTCGGGCAGCCTTGCACCGCCTTTGCCGAACCTTTGTATTCGTGGTGCTGCTTGTGGAAGCGGGCGTACAGCTGCGGCATGTGCAGGAGGCGGTGCGTCCAGTAGAACAAGGCGTCGTTGACAAGCACGCTGAAGCCAAACCGACACATCATCGGCACAAGCGCCCCTGCTGCCGGCGGGCCCGCAACATCCATGCCCATACGCAGGAAGAGCGGAAACAGCGCGTACAGCGAGATGGGCTGGATGACCCAGTGCGACACAGCACTCTTGCGCAGCGTCTTGGCAATGAGTGCGCGCGATGGCTCTGGCGTGCTGCCTCGGTCAATCTTGTGCTTGCTGCAGATGCCAAAGCGGTCCATGAGCAGGAAGGCCGAGTTGACGCCGTAGTACATCACCTCGTGCACCGCCATCGTCGATGCCACGAACCACGCCCGCTGAGACCACGGCCACACGCCCGTCACAAAGTGGTGATACAGCGGCTGGATGCCCACAGCCGCCAGCGTGCACAGCGTGGAGATGCGCAAACAGTCCCGCAGCGTGTGCAGTGTGACGCACAGCGTGGACGGACCACGGACTGCAGCCGAGTCGTCAGCGTCGGTGCCGATGTTGGTCCTCGTGGTGGTGTCGGTTGTGCTGGGCGCGGCGTAGGAGGGTGGGAGTTCTGCATCGTCGGTTTTCGGAGCGAACGCGCTGGGTGTGGACGTCACGTAGTTGTTGGTGTTGTTAGTGTTTGGGTTGTTGTTGGTGCTGAGATTAGCGGTTGTTGCTGTTGTTGCAGTTGTTGTGGCGGGGGCAGTCTTTGGTTTGGAAACGATTGTGTGTGGCGTGGGTGTAGCTTGAAGCTTCGACTTCATACGGTATGTCATGAGCTTGTCGCAGGCTGCGTTCTTGACCTGCGCCACGCCCTCCCCCGTGAGCGTGCTCATGCTCAGCACGCTGATGCCCTCGGCCTCATACGCCTTCAGCCGCTCCTGCACCTCCGTCGGCGCATCCTCAATCTTCATCGTGTCAGCCTTGTTCACAATAATCGCCAGCGGCTGCCGTGGCAAACATGCAAACATTGGGTTGGGGTGGGGTGGGGGGTTGCGTGAGCGCGATGGCAAGCGGCAAGTGGAAGCAGTACGACGACAATCACCAACGTCACAGCTACTCGTCACAACCGTATCCAGAGCACACACACACACACACACACACACACACACCTTCTTTGCAAAGAGGGGCTTGATGTTCTCAAAGAGGGAAAACTGCTGCTCCACAGTGAAGCCGCACTGCTGGCTCAGGTCCATCACATACAGCACACACGCGCGCAGATGCGCAAGCGCCGTGATGGCCTGCATCTCAATCGTGTTGCGCTGCTCCAGCGGGTGGTCAAGAATGGCCGGTGTGTCAATCACCTATATGGCAGGGGCGTTTGTGTGCAGTGTGAGCTTGAATGAGTGGTGCTTGCAGGAGATGGACCGGGTAAACGGTGGCACTACTACACGATCTGTCATGCACGTGTGTATGCGCAACTTCTGCGTAACGTGTACGTGCATATGCTTGTGCCGAGGACGCGTACCTGCCAGCGAAGATACTGGTAGTCTGTGTGTCCGACGAAGAGGGACTTGGTTGTAAATACGTACGGCTGCACTTCAACATCTGCGCGCGTCACCTTGTTGACAAAGCTCGATTTGCCCACGTTCGGGAAGCCCGTCACAAGCAGCGTGCGCGTGTTGGGGTCGATCGAAGGCAGACGCGACAAATGCTGCCGCAATTGCTCAAGGTACCCCAGCGAGGACTTGCGATCATGCAAGACAGTCGCCATGCGACCCAGCGCCCTGTGCTTGAGCTGCTTGCATTGCTCCAAGGACTCGCCCTGCTTCAACTGCTGCACACACTCTTCAGCAAGGCTGTGCATCGCGTGTCGTGTAGGACAGCGAACGTGTGAGGCGGATGCAGTTGA